GTATCTTCCCCAAAGAATTAAAAGAATCATACCACAGTGATATATGTGCACCCATGTTCATAGCAGCACAATTTGTATTAGCTAAAACTTGGAAGCTGCCCAAATCCCCATCAACTGGAGACTGGATAAAGAAAATGTGTTTTTTTTTATAAAATGGAGTACTACTCAGCCATCAAAAACGAGAAATTAGAGACATTTATTGCTAAATGGATCCACATTGAGTCAATACTCTTAAGTGAAATAAATAGGACACACATGTGTAAGTACCGAATAGTTTCTCTGGTGTGAGAAACTGAAAGTGTAAATAAGGACTAAAAGTTATAACAGATAATGTGAAATAGGAAGAAAAGGGGCAAAGGAGAAGGGGAAGCGGGAGGGGTAGGGTAAAGAAAAGAAGGGAATGGCATTAATATAAGAAAATGAAAAAAAGGAAACAAAACCATTGTAAATAAGGAGGGATGGAGTGGTTGAAGGGAGGGCAGGGGAAGGAGGGAAATATAAGAACCAAGAGGTGCATGTAAAGGTGCAGATTTCCAATGATGAATGTCATTATATTGTATACCTAAAATGTACCAATAAAAGGATATACAAAAATAAATAAATAAATAAAAAACTGGAGGCCAACTGTTCCATCTTAAAAATTCTCCAAGTCTCTCTCCCTATCTTTCCTTTTTCTCTCCCTCTCTTTCTCTTTTATGGTTGTGGTAGGGGGATTGATCCCCCAGCCTTTGCACTAAGCTACATTTCCAGACCTGTTTTTACTTATTTTGATACAGGGTCTCACTAAGTCTCTAAATTGCCCAGGCTGGGGCTCAAACTTTTGATCCTCTTTGGATTCCAGTCCTTCTTTCCTTCTTTAGGCTTAATGATTTCCTCAAGCTGATATGAGAATTACATGAGATAATGTAAAAAGTACTTAGCAGTATCTCATTTGATTCTTAGATTATCTCTTCTCATTTATTTTCCATGACTCATTTAATTATTTTACTTCATTTAATTTTCATACTTCCTTGGAATCTGGGCCTGGTGGAAGAACACAGAGGATAATTTATCCGGCGTTCACCTCCAAGTTTTCATTTGGTGTACCACTGATGATGAAGTTAAAGATAGATTACTCTGGCATAGTGACTATTTTGAATTAAAGGCATTGGCAAAACAGCAGGTACAAAAGAATCATTCTGACCTCTTTTCTGTTTCTTAAAAACAGGAGATAAAATTCCCACCCACGTGAGATATCCACCATGTACTAGAAGGAAAGCAGCTTTCTACACTGACTTTGTTAAAATAACTCTTTTAAACTTCCTCACATAATTTAGTTTTTCACATTCTACTATACTTTGTCCAATTTAGTATCAAGTAACTAATCTTAACTGCTTCATTGAATCTTTATTTCTCTCTGAAGGCTCCTGTCATTTAAAACTTGTATTAAAATACATTTGTATCCTTTTGTCCTATTGACCTGTCTTATGTCAATGAATTCTCAGGCCCAGTATGAGAGGAGGTAGTAAAATTTTCCCTCACTCTTCCATGATGACAATGCTTATAACAATAACAATGAAAATTTATTAAACTCAATATCAGCTGGGCAATTTAAGTGGTTTTCATACACTCATTCAACTCCCAGAATACTATTAATATCTCCATTTTATTGATAAGGGCACCGAGATTCAGGCAAAGTACTTTGCCCGAGGTCCCCCAAATAGTCAATGAAATAAGGCCTGTGTGCAAACGCTGTTTTATCTAGTAGCTCTAGAGCCTGAGCTCTTAACTATACTACATGCCTTTTCTGTGAGGTCTGCTCTCTCCACAGCTTTCTAAGCGTTTGTGAAGACTTCTTTTGGACTGTTTACAGTGCATCAGACTTACCAGGAGTCCTTTCCACTAGACTGAAGTTCTGCAAGCCCGGACTCTGACTCAGTCACCTTAACTCCCCTAGCTGGGCACACCCTGAACTCTTTAATTTGTTCTCTCCACAAATATTTACAAAGCGTTTGCTATGGCGAGGTGTTATACTAGTGTTAAGGAAATAAAAACTGCCAACAAAATCTGCTTCATACCAATGTAGAGAACCAGATCTGGACATAATTTTTTTTAAATGTACAGACAAAAAGATAATTAATTTTTTTTTCGTGAGAGGATGCCTCGTTACACCCTTGCTGTATAGCTTGCTATACATGTGCGTCTGACCCTTAAGCTACTTCGAGAGAGGTTACAAATCCAAGGGTCGGAAGCCTTTACTTCCTAAGCAGACAAGCCTGCTGCTGGGCTTCCTACCCTCTCCAGGAGGCGCCCTGACAAGGGAGGTGGTGGGTGGGCAGTGCCCCCGTTCTCAAAGACAACTGAGGGGCAGTCTCTCAACCCTCGCCGTCTCCGGTTACACGGTCGACCCAGGCCGCGGTCGGAGCGATCTTCGGGTTGTAGTCGCCGTGCTAAGTGGGAGGGAAGGAGGGGAAAGAGTGACCAAGGAGCAAGCGAATGAACGGCGCGACGACCTACGTGTACGACCGGCCTAGCGGTTGCCAAGGAGCTGAAGAACGTCCCGCTTCCGCGTCAGGATTAGAATGAAAAGAAGGAAAAGAAACACGAGACTGTTCGGGAAGAGTGCTTCCGCGCCCCGCAGGTTGAAACCAAGGTTCCACCCCAGTTTTCATCCTTTCCGGCCGGGAGAACCGAGGTCTCCAGGACGCCAACTGGGGCGGGGGCCACGGCGGGGCGGGACGGGGCGGGACTACGGAAGCCGAGCAGGAGCGAGTCGTTCGGCCGCGGAAGTGTGAGGCTGTGAGGAGCCTGGCGGAGCCTTACAGTGCAGTGGTGCGTTTCTAGCCGCGGGTCCTGTCTCCGCCCTTCTGCACTTGCCCCTACTTGCCGGGCGGAGACGCACCTCCTGAGTCGCCTGGCGGCATCTTCTGGGTCAGAGGTCTGAGGGATCTTCCGCGGTGCCCACCCGGCCGGCGGACCTCTCGCGCGTGTGCCCGGCTGGCCCGGGGTCCGGGCTCCACTTCCACGGCGGCTCCCCCAGACGCACCCGCCGCTCCCCGAGCGGACGGCGTCATGAGAAGCCTGCCGTACTTCTGCCGCGGCCAAGTGGTGCGGGGCTTCGGCCGCGGCTCCAAGCAGCTCGGCATCTCCACAGGTGAGCGCGGAGCTACGCGGAGCCCGGGGCCGGGTCACGTGGGCAGGGGGACGCGGCAGAGGTGACCCGGTCCACGGTGTCGCTCCTCTCCGTTGGGGCGGAGGACCTTTAGTCCGCGAGCAGGAGCTCCTCCCCATTCCTGGCTCCGAGCTCCCCGAGTCGATTCAGAGCAAGAAAGCCGAGACAGGTCACAGAATCCCCCGTCCCACCTCCCTGTCCTGTTGGGATAGAGTTGGCCAAGCATGGCAGTTTACTTAACCTAGAAACGTGGTGTGGGCCAAATCTGCCGGTCTCTCAAGCTGACTTTAAAATCTAGACTTAGGATAACAGCGTCCATTTGATAAATAACACAGGAAGCTGGAGTGCCACCTTTTATTTTTGGTTTGACTACATTGGTTTTAGTAATCGCGACTTGACTGCTTAATTCATCGCTACAGATACCTACTTGGGCTGTCCTTGACCATTTAAATCGTTCGTTTGACTTGACGTTTAGGTTTGTATATTTTAAAAGTAAGACTTTTAATAATTGAGAACATCGTTTTTATTTTTTAAATATTAAGAGGTGCAGTCTCCTTATGTTGTGCAGGCTAGCTGGGTCTCACACCTCTAGATGGGACTGTAGGGCCACATGCCTCATTTCATTTGTTTTTTAACCTATTTTTTCTTCTACCCAGATTTGTTTTGTTCTTTTCTAGGGGGTGGTTTGAGAGAAATTTAGACACTTGCCTTGTACCTAATTCCTAAACTATTCACATGAAGAGAAGAAAGGAAGCTAAATAATATAGAAGGATAGATTGATCATCATAGTCAAGGCCATAATAATTGTGAATGTAATAATTTACATTAGTCCTTCATGTGATTTTTACACATATTTAACATGAAACTTACTACACTCGGAATATTTCCTTCTGTTATTTAGCTAACTTTCCTGAACAAGTAGTAGATAATCTTCCAGCTGACATATCCACTGGCATTTATTATGGCTGGGCCAGTGTTGGAAGTGGAGATGTTCATAAGATGGTGGTGAGCATCGGATGGAACCCATACTACAAGAATTTGAAAAAATCCATGGTAAGAATCACATTGTGCTCTGTGACTGAAAATCAGATGGTGATTGAGTAATTTGTAGTGTTAGATACACATAGAATTCATTAATGGTAATCACAACATAATTAAAACAATTTTTGGTGGAATTTAAAAATGAAGTATTTAGTTACTGCTGTATTTGAATTTCATTTAAACAGCTTAGAGTTGGAGCGTAGTTTGTTTTTTTTCCAGTGTTGGGAGTTTAACCTAGGGCCTCAAGCGTGTATATGCTCTACTCCTGAGCTATATCCCCATCCCATTTTCTTTTTTATTGTTTTTCTTTTGAGACAAGGTCTCACTAAGTTGCCCAGGCTGCTCTGGAACTTAAAATAGGGCATGGGATACCTTACCTGGCTGGATCACTTTTAATCCCTTCTGACATTCTCTGCCTTTTTATTAGAGAGTTTAATCCATTTACATTTAAAGTAATGCTGATAAGGAGGGATTTCCACAATGATGTCTTTTGTTTTCTAATTTTTATCCATTTCTTCTTTATTGCCTTTTTTTTTGGTGCTGGGGATTGAACTCTGGACCTTGCTTTTGTGAAGCAGGCCCTGGACTCACTGAGCTAAATCTCCAGCCTGCCTTTTTTTTTTTCTTGATGGTACTCAAAATTCCACACAGGGCCTTTGCTCTGCACTGCCCCCCCCCCCCCGGGATTATCAGCATGTACCCTCACAACCAACTTTTAGTTGCCTACCACGTTTTTTTTTTAAGTGACATATTTTGATTCCTTTCTCATTTCCTTTTGTAGATTTTCTGTAGATAATTTCTTTGTAGTTACCAGGAGGATTACATTTAAAATCCTTAAATTCTAAAAGTCTAATTTGAATTCATACCAATTTAACTTCAATAGCTCACAGAACCCACAAATTATGTTTATGTATTGTGCACCCAATAACATAGATTTTTTTTTTGTATGTTTTCCAAGTCGTATGTACAAAATAAGATGTGAAGTGACAAACCAACATTATAATGATAGTTTCATAGCTGAATGCAGTGGCACACACCTCTGGTCCCAGCAACTCAGGAAGCCAAGGGAGAAGAATCACTAGTATGAGGCCAGCTTGGCCAACTTAGACCCTGCATCAAAATGAAAAATAAAAGGGTTCTTGCCTAGCAGGTGCTGGGCCATGGGTTCAATCCCCAGAACCAGCATAATGAAAAATAATAATACTATTTTAATTGGTCATGCATCTTCATTTATTGAGAATAAAAGTAAGGTATTTAATAAAAGCATGTTTCATAAAATTGAACTTGCCACAGTTAATATACTTCATTCAGAGTTTAATTACTTGATTGTCTTGTTAAAAAATCAAATTACAGGAATAGTGCAAATTTTTTGTTTGAGTTTTGCATTGCTGGGGATCAAACCTTAGACATGAGGTCATGTGGTTGTTTTAGGCAAGTGCTCGACCACCTACAGCTTCACTACATTTCTGGCTCATCTGTTTTTAAATTCACCTTGAGGGTATACTCTTTCTGCCGTGCTTTCAACTTTTTTCACAAGATTCCTACAGCTTAAATGTTTTGCTAGATTTGACTAAATCTTTTGTAAGCCTCTAGTGTGTGTCAAAAACAGATTTGAAGTGATCTAAATTTTAACTTCTTTGTGAAGTTGGTAAGAGAAGTATGTCACAGTTGAAAAACTACAAAGCTAAGTTCTGGTATAAGCAGTAATAAAGACCCAGAATTCCTTAATATTTTGCTTAGTATTTTACTTAACTTCTGAATAGTAAAGGTGATAAAAATTGTTGGAGGAGATAAAGAAAAAAGTTGATAAAAAAGCATACTGAATACTGTTCTGTAGAATGAGGAAGATAAAAAGGGAAGGGAGTTTATCCCAGGATTAATTTTTCTTATGAGCTACTCAGTTAACAGAAATAATACCATTGAGCCAGTTAAGGAATGCCTTACAAGTCTGTTGATAAGAGAAACTCAGTTTTTCACTGGTAAGATATTGAGACATTTCAGGACTTTTCTTTTTGGTTTTGTCTTTTGTTTTTTTGTTTTTTACTTTGCATAGTAACAGATAATCTGTGATTCCTATTCAAGTTTGTGCTCTTGTTTTAGAAATTGTGTTATCTTATTGTTTTAAGGAAATTCTTAATATAGTCTAGATCCAGTTTCTTTGTTGGAACTATGAATTATGTATTACAAATTTCCTTTACTTCATGTCGTGCTTTTTTTGGTTACTGTTTTTCTTGTTTTGCAGTGCTAGGGATTGAATCAAGGACTGTGCACGTGCTAGGCAAGCACTCTACCACTGAACTATATCCCCAATCCAAAAAATTCTTAATTTTAATATAATCTAGTTCATCTTTTTTCTTATATGCTTGGTTAGTGTTTTTAATAATTTAAGAAATTTAAAAGCTTTCTTTACTTATTAAATTGATTTTGGGGTATAGTATACAATAAGGGTCAAAATTGATTTTTTTTTTCCTCAGTTGGATATGGAGTTGGCTCACATCATTTATTAAAAATGTAGCTTTCTCCTCATAGTACTGCATTGTCTTTTTTGTCGTAAATCAAGTGACTTTACATGTGTAAGAGTCCAAAAATATATTTACACGTATTTGATCTGCTTGTCTGTCTGAGCCATTACCACAGGGGGATCATAATTTCCATAGCATTATAACAGGTCTTAACTATCTTGTGTGAGTTTATGAGTTTTGTTTTCAAGATTTCCTTGGATAATTTTGTCCTTTCTATATAAGGTTTAGAATAGTTTGTCAGTTTCTTCCATTTAGAATTTCGATTGGGATAGCATTGAATCATTGTATCATTGTAGGAAGAGTAGTAAATCAGTTTAGGGAGGACTTGACTTAACTTTCTTTTTTTTTGGTACCGGGGATCGAACTCAGGACCTTGCACTTGTGAGGCAGGCAACGGCACCACTGAGCTAAATCCCCGGCCCCAGGACTTAACTGTCTAATCCATCCTACCCTGCAAGTGCCACAGATCTTTCAGCTGCTACTCCTTTGTCTTGAGTGTATAAAAGATAGGGAACAAGAAAAGAATCATAAAATGAATTTGTTACCCTTATCTTTAAGGGTATCTTTTTTTTGAAATAAGCATATAAAGAATATGTACAAAGTGATTTCCTTCTAGATAGACAAAGTGGACAAGAATATTACAGCCAGCACTCCATAATTACCTCCGATGAACATGACCTTGCCCAAACAAGACCAAAAGGATACAAAAGACTATGTTACGGTATTTTTTTTAATAAAGGAAATGAAAGTTGCCTTAATCTAAAACTTCATGTAATATTTCCTTCTCTCATTTGGATTGAATCATATTCAAGTGTACAATATTAACTTGCTAAGTTAGTTTAGAAAGAATAAACACATCTCATGTATATTTTAAATAGATCGCTTGTAATTTTTCTTAAGTATATTGCTTTTATTATGTTGAATGTGATTTAGCTATTCTAGCAGACAGGTGATAGATACATTAATTTTAAGGATTTTCTCATGTCATATGCTTCAAAACTTACCTCAAAGTAGATATTTCTAAATAGTTTACACTTAAACTGTCCAATTTCCAATGCTACCATCATGTTAAGCTCAGCTGTCTTACTTCTGTTTGGTCTTTCTGCCTTTTGATCTCTGATTTGCTCTTTAGGGGAATCTACTAAAACTCAAATGATTTATCTGAACTGGAGAGATTTTAAACAGCAGATCATGTGTGATTTGTGGTGTAACATACCAGTTTTATGTGTAAGGTTGGGACAGAAACAGGAGTGATGAAAGTCTTTAAAACTTTTACAAGAATTGTTTCATTTAAATTAACTCACTATAAATATGAAGATGCATTTCAGATTTCACATTGCCTTTCATCATTTTTGGCTATAGGAAACTCACATCATGCATACCTTCAAAGAGGACTTCTATGGGGAAATCCTCAATGTGGCCATTGTTGGCTACCTTAGACCAGAAAAGAACTTTGATTCTTTAGGTAAGCTCTTACTTTGATCTTTAATATTTCTACTGCCACAGCTATTACTAGTAGTAATGATAGTAGAGCATATATTATTTGAGCATTTAATGTGTGCCAGGCATTGTTTTAAGTGTCTCCCATGAGTAAATTCCTTTATCCCCACAACAACCTTATGAAGAATTACTTTGCCCATTTCACACATGAGAAAATTGACACAGAGATTATTTGCCCAAAGTCCTTGTCTTAATCTTTTAGTTAAGATTGCATACAAGACGGGTAATTTGTGAAGAATAGATATTTATGTGGCTTATATCATATGTAGTTGTGGTACCCTAAAAGTCCAAGAGCTGGGCTTTAGCATCTGGTGAGGACCTTGTTGCTGTGTAAGGGAAGAGGTCACATGGGAAAACAGAGCAAGAGTGCCAGAGAAGTGCTACAGAGAGCTCACATTTATAACAATACTACTCCTTTTTCTTAAGCCTGAAAAAAGGGACAGGGCAAATATTTATTGGGCATTTACTCTATCAGAGGTGTGACCAGCCTGTGATGTTTTTAGGGGAGGCTAAGCAAAAGAATAGTAAAACATTCATAGTTTCTCATTACCTTTATGTGGTATATTCTCTCTATAGAGTCACTTATTTCAGCGATTCAAGGAGATATTGAAGAAGCTAAGAAACGACTAGATTTGCCAGAACATTTGAAAATCAAAGAAGACAACTTCTTCCAGGTTTCAAAAGGCAAAATTATGAATGGCCACTGATGAAAAATTACCGTATTTATTCATGTGCTGTTTTCTAATATTTCACTGTTCTTAATTATGAAGTCATGCCGGGGATTTAGCTCAGTGGTTCCACCGCCTGCGTTCCAAGCGCAAGGTCCCGAGTTCGATCCCTGGTACAAAAAAAAAAAAACCACTACATAATTATGAAGTCTTATCTTAGTTATATTTTAAAAGTCAAACATTTCCCTGTGCTGTGAATTAGCTTAAAGTATACAGTAGTGTAGAGTTACCCGACTGTGCTTCAACTGTTAAATCATCATGCTGTGTTTCTAAAAAGCTTCTTTTAAAAATCAAGATTCTTCTTTATGTAATATGAACTCCACTAGAAAGATACTGTCTTAGAATGGAAATAAAATGTACTATAAGTATGGGTGAAAAGGCAAGTCAGTAGTTTGAGAGGAAAACTAATTCTCATGGTAAGATACCAGAATGTATGTACTTGTGTAGCATATGCTGCTGAACAGAGAAGACTTATGAAAGTCAATGCCTTAAACAGAAGTTTGATAATTTATTATAAACCTTAGTAGGAAGGTCCATGCTGTATTTTTGATATTTTCTACCTTAATATATTATTACATACACGAAGAATTTTGTAAAATTTGGTTTAACTCATTTCCCTTATGAGTTCAGTTCATTTCGCTGTCACCATTTTTTGTGTAGAGTTCCCTCAATTCTAAGTGGCTTAGATCCCCTCTGCCTATCAGTTTGTTTATAAGGCAGTAAAATGAGTGCTATTTTAATTCTGTAGCTCTCATTTTTTGTGTTGGATAATGTTTTCTTATTAACAGTAGATATTCTTGTTCTTCAACATTTTTCTTGACATTGGTTTTTTCCTTTTAACAATTTTAACAGTTTTTTCCATTTGAAATATCGTACATCTGTACACTTAAAAGAGATTGCCCTTGTCCCTGCCATTCCATTTTTCATACTATGTGAGCAGTGATTAAGTATGTATCTGTATTGCTTTTTTTTTTTTTTTTTTTTTCAGTGCTGGGGATTAAATCCAGAGCCTCATACACTAGGCCAGTGATGGCAAACCTTTTAGAGGTTTCAGTAATAACTGACAGCCCGTTTTGGCACACATGCCATAGGTTCATCACCATTGCATTAGGACCAATGCTCTGCCACTGACCTACACTCCAAGCCCGTGTATTGCAGTTTTAGGAAAAACAAACCTCATCTTTAGGCTTCCCCTGGATTTAAATAAACACATAGCCTTTCATTATAAGTGCTAGTTTCTTAGCACGAAGTGCTTATTTTTCCCCCTTGGGAAACTGTTTTAAGAGCCAGTTAAACTATAAAGTAGTTAGCAGGTTATTTATTTTTAATGTGATTATATATTCCAGAGTAAATGTAAACTGTTGTACTTATGTATGCTCAATATAACTTAATGCTAATGTGGTGAGTACTTGGGGCTTGAAGGAAAGGTATAAATAAAAATTTAGTTAAATAGTCTTCACACTTTGCATTTTCCCTTTTCCTGACTTTTGGCCACTTGAGTGGCCACTTAAGTTTCTTTAGATACTTCAGGAAATGAAGGTTACAGATTGCTTTTTGTCCCCTCAGATTGTACAGTGAATCATTGTTCACTATGGTAATAGATTTGGCAGGGGGACAGGTTGGTGGAGAAAGGTTGAAGTATATAGTAGGTAATTTTTAAAGGTAATTCATTTCCCCTAATTATTGATGTTTAATAAACATTTATAAAGTACGTTGAAAAACATGTAAAGTTACCAGAAAAAAGGGATGCATGTATAAATTCAGTTAGATTGCATTTTACTTTTTTGTTTGTTTGTTTAGTTTCTGTGACAGGGTTTCACTGTGTAGTCCAGGCTGGCCTTGAACTCAGTACCCTAGGCTAGCCTCTAAACTTGTGTTCCTCCTGACTCAGCCTCCTGAGTGCTAGAATTACAGGCATGCACCACCACACTCAGCTGCATTTTGCTTTGTATTGTATGAATTTATGACAAACAGTGCAGTTTGTGGCTTTTTCATTTCTTCATAAAAATATTTAGGATTTTTTTTAATGATAGTAAGGATTCACCTCAGGGGCTTGTGCATGCTAGCCAAGCACTCTGCCACTGAGTTACACCTTCTCCCCCATCCCCTACCCTGAAAATACAGTTTTTGATGGCAGAAATCCCATGTTTGTAAGAAGCCTCAATTATCAATGACTTTATGAAGCAAAGTTAAAAACAAATGTGGAAATGGTAAAGACGTATTTGTATTTAGTCTGAGTAGCCTGTTGCTAATTATGTTCTCATTGTGTGGAAGTTCTTTGATATCTTGTTACTTTACCTTTCATTAAATAGCCATTACTTTTGAAAATTATACAGTATGTTATTTAGGAGTTTGTCTGCACTTTTAACAGTTTTATGTTAAGTGATTATGCATTGTAAGATGTTATAGTAGTTCCAAAAAATAAAAAAGATGTTATAGTAGTTCCATTGTGATTAGTCTGAATGTTTTCAGACCTTTAAATAAATCTTGACTGAGTGATTTTTTTTTCTCTGCTTGTGTCAATTTGAATCTTTTATTTCTTAAGGCTTCTAATTTGTTGGCTGATTTTTACCTTCAGATATCTTAAAGGTTCTGAATAGCTAGGAAAAGGTGGCAGCTGTGGAGAACCTAACAAGCACTGGTTCTATAGTCAAGGGCCTTGCTTTTATGGGCTGCAGTTTTTTATGCCTGTGGCAGTGATTGAGTTTTATTTGGAGAACATTCACAGGACATCAGTGCTGTTCAAAGATGAGAATGAGAGTTCCCAGTTATGCTTTGGAGGTAAAGCAGCCAGAAGAGTGTAAGTAGGTGTGGCTCCCTTATGTAATTCCTGCTCCAAAACACAATGCTGTGACCTTCACGACTTGTGCAGTTAACCCCATGTGCAGGAACGCGGGATTCATTTGCCTGTCTCTGGGCACTCAGCGCTCATCTCTAGAGTATGTTTATGGTAGTTACTTTTCTCTCGTTGCTGAGACAAGATACTCAACACCCAAAGTTAAAGGGGAAAAGGTTTATTTACCTTACAGTTCATACAGTTTCAGTGCATAATAAGCTGGCTCCAAGGCTGGGATGGCAAACAGGTATCACAGAGGAGAAACAACATGGCCAAACGAAGTAGCAAAAGCAAAAGACTTTAACAGCTTCTTCCTGCCCCTTTTATCTTACTCAGACTACTTAGGGCAGGTACCACTCACACCCTTAATCCTAGTGCTTTGGGCCTAGCATTGCACCATGAATCAATCACAGGCTCTAGATTCAGCCACCTCCAAAATAGCCTATGACCACATGCGGCTCAGTTTGTGGGGACATCTAGACACAAACCAAAACAATGCTCATCTTCAACAAGAAGACTTACCAGCTTGTAGAGTGATCATGTAACAACTCCGAACAGATGTAAGCAGAAGTTTCCTTGGGATTTTTTAGAACAGTTTTATTTTCCTGTTAAAATTGCTAGCCTTTTCCTGTTCCCCTCTTACTTGGAAAATAGATATGAAGTGGAGACTTGATCTGACTGTCCGAGATTGACCTGGGAAACAAATATACCCTAACCAAAAGAAATCCTACAGTGAAAGTCAGAAACACTCTGCAAAGATGGCAGATAGGTATTACTAGATTCAGAATTTTGAAATTCCTGAGCAAAGAAAAAAGTATCAAAAAGTTAAAATGACATAGTTATATAAAACTTGGGCAAAATCAGGTGCAGAGGTGCCTGCTAGTCCTAGCACTTGAAAGGTTGAGGTCGGGGAACAGAAGCCCAGAAGTGCAAGGCCAGTCTGAATGACAGCAAGACCCCATCTGAAAAAAACAAAAACTGAACAGGGACTGGGGTGTGCAGCTCAGTGCCAGAGCACATGGGTTCAGCTCCCAAAATAACTGTATTTGAAGGGTGTTCAGAAAGTTGGGAAATGTAGGATGGATTTCTTTTCCCAAATCTCATTACACATATATATGGGGGACCCTCAAGTTACAACGGGCCTGACATACGAACAACTTGGGTGCATTAGGTTAATGAAAGATTTATCTGCCTCTTGTTATCTATAGCATGTACCCAGGTAAACATCCAGATCTCAGCTGTATTGACTTCACATTCACAACCAACTTCAGTTAAACTAACCCTTGGGAACTGATCAAGTTCATATGTCAAGGGTCCACCGTGGTTTTTTTTTAAGTGGCAGGGATCAAACCCAGGGCCTCAAGCGTGTCAAGCAAGCACTGTACCACTGAGCTACACAGCTAGTCCCTTGAAGAGTTTTAATTTCATACTCATTTGTGGTGAAAACAAAGTTTTTCTCATAGCAATTAGGATGAACTCATTTTTAAACTGTATTTGCAAATTTCATGCTATGTTTTGGTTCAATTTCAGACTTTACAGATAAAGTACTTTCTAATTTAATGATCCCAGCATATATGCACACACAAATGAAGTGAAGCATTTCTTCACTGTCAGTATTTTCTGTACTTTAAATCCCTCATCTAGCTAGTGGCCATTGTATTAGACAGTAACTACAGAGGTCTATAAAGTCTGGAAATCATAAGTAAATTGTACTTTTTTCAGATTAACGGTTACACCTATTGCTTTAATTTAAGGCATATTATCTGAAAATGTAATCACCATATTGTCTGGCTAACTTTAAAATGTAACTAACATACTGGTAAAACCTTTTGTTTTATCTAAAGGTATGTAATCCATAGTGTCCTCCTTTAATTTAAAGAAAGCTCAGAGCTGATACCCTGTCACTATAGTTAAAATGATCTAGAACTATGGTTTTCAGAATGCCGCAAAGAGCTCTGAAGCTTCGTAGAAGTCTCTTGGATGATGGGCAAGGAAGGAGATCTGCCTCCTTCTCAGTCTATTTAAATTAAGGCAGCACTCTTCACTGTCTTAATTACATGAGCTCTACAGAAGATTTCCTTGGATAAGAATGCTTCTGTTAAGAAATACATGAACTTCTGCTCGATTTAGTCCACTTGATTCCTCCTTCCTCGAGGTTCTTGTCTATTTTCATATCACCAGTTTCATTTTATACATATAATAGGCAGCCCCTAAGCACTTGTGGAATCAGGTGGTTATGAATTCTGGGAGAGTCTGTCTCTAGGACATGAGAGGATTCTCAGGTGTGACTTCTGCTTGGATCACTGTAAACAAATACTTGATGCTGAGTCACTCAAGGGAATTTCAGGTTCATTTCAAGTTTCCTTGAGGCCTTTCTGAGCCTTCAAAATATTTTGTAGGACTGCACAGAGTTATTCTACTTTTAGATTTGAAGGTATTTCAAATTTATTAAAGGCTCCCTGTTACAGCTCAGATCTAAAATATCTCCGGAAAGGCTCACTTGTTGAAGGCTTGGTCCCCAGCGCAGCAACATTCAGAGGTGGGACTTTTTGGAAAGTGATTAGATTACAAGGGTGCTGGCCTCATCAGAGATTAACCCATTTATGAGTTCATAGCCAAAAGCCTGTTAGGAGATGGGGCCTAGTGAAGGGGACTGTGTATTGTCCTTGGCCCCCTTCTCAGCACTTCTCTTACTGGGTTTCCTGGACACCATGAGGTTAGCCCTTCTGCCATGATGCTTCTGCCTTGCCACAGGCTAAGCCGGGATTGAAACCCTGAAACCATGCACCAAAATAAATCTTTCCTCCTTTAAATTGTTTGTATCAGGTATTTTGTCACAGCAACACAAACCTCACTAACAGAAATTTGATACTGAAGCCAGGTGTGGTGGTGCATGCCTGTAAACTCAGTCCTCTGGGAGACTGAGGAAGTAAGATTGAAAATTTGAGCCCAGCTGGGGCAACTTTATAATTTAGTAAGACTCCGTTTCAGAATAAAAATTTTAAAAGGCCTGGGGATGTAGCTTAGTTCAGAGCTTCTGGATTCAATCCTTCTAGTACAAAACAATTTTAAAAATCAGTACCCAAAAGTGGGGTTGTTGTGAGTATGCCTGGTGATATGGTTCAGAAGCCTTTGAAATTGAAGGAATTTGGAAATGTTTGGAGATTAGATTAGAGAATCTTAGAACATTGTGAGTGGAGCTAAAGTGCTTGTGTGAGTTCAGACCATCAGAGTGCTGACAGGAATGTAAGACAGTAAAGATGTGCTCATGAGGTTTCATATGGGAACAAAGACTCTTGGGAATTGAACTGGAGATCATTGATGTTAACTTCCAACAAAGAGCTTGTACATTTTGTCCATGCCAAGACTTTGTGGAAGGCTGAATTTAAAGGTGATGGACTAGTTTTTCTGGCAGAAAAAATTTCAAGGCAGTACAGCACTCATGAGTATTGTTAGCTGCTTTTAGCTAGACTTATAGTAAGACTGGGAAGCAAAAAGTTGAGCAGAAAAGATTTGAAAAACTTGCAGTTTGGCTGAGAAGGGAATGTGTTTAAAGTTGAGTCCCAAAAGCTTGTTGTTGCTAGAGAAATTAGCACCATTAAAAAAAACAAGTTCTGAGAAGGATTGGAAATTTGAGGCCTGCCTGGATTACAGTGAGACCCTGTCTCAATAAAACAAAACAAAACCCAAGTAGTTTGCAGCAAGATAAGAAGAAAGATACCTTAAGGGTGTCTCAGGAATCAGCAAGACCCCACCTACAATAAGATCAAGGATGTAAAAGTATAAACCTTCACTTTGATTTTTTTCAGAGTCTCACAGCTAAAACTTTGCCTTGCATCTCAGAGGAGACTTTGAACTTAGACTTTTGAGAAATGCGGCAACTGCTTAGACTTTAGGGAGTCTTGGAAATGGACTGAATGCATTTTGCATCGTGAGATGGATATGAGCCTTTGGGGGCCAGGGCCAGAATCTAGGTGAAGTTATAGTTTGAATCTTAAATGTCTCCCAAAAACTTACATGTTGAAAGCTTGAGCCCCAGCTAATGGCACTATTGGGAAGTGAGGAGGGGCTTAGGAAAGTAGGTCACTGGGGGCATGCCTTTGAGGGGTGTCTTAGTTACTTCCTCCTTGCTGAGAAAAATACCCAAAATGCACAAGTTAAAGGTGGAAAGGTTTATTATAGCTCAGTTTGTAGTGGTTTCAGTTCATAGTTGGCTGGCTCCAAGGCAGGGTAGGATGGTAGAGGGACATCACTAAGGAAAAACAGTTCATGGCAAGCAGAAGGCAGCAAAGCAGTAGCAGCATGTGACAAGTGGTCATAGTGGCCCTCTTTCTGTCCCTTAAATTCTATCCAGGCTACACGCCCTTAAAGTGGGTAGAACTCACACCCAGGGTGGGCCTTCCCATATCCAAAATCAGAACCATACCAGAGACCAATCAATGGACTAATATAGTAATCACACTCCCTTAATCTGTATTCACATGCCCTAGCCACCTCTAAAAAGCACTACCTATGAGCACATGAAGCTTTGGGGGAACCTCTCGATACAAGCCATAACAAGGTGTATTTTGTCCCAAGCCGCCTCCTACCCCTTCCTCCTCCTCTTTCTCTGTCTCATCTTCCTCTGGCCACCATGACATGAACAGGTGTGCCCCATCATGCCCTTCTTTCAT